GGTACTGGCCTCGGGACCATCGAACTGGCTCGTTAATGGAAGCATCGTCCCCTTTACCTGATATAGGCTTTGAAATACTGCCTTATGTTTCGAGTGACTTCCACGGCGTCCGTATACCCGACGTTTGTATGACACTTTGCGTCTTGGGAGCGGCCGTGATGGTATTTGTTAAATTCAACTTCAACCAAGCGACTATTGTTCTAAAGCGCACATTGCTCTTAGGGGCAATAGGGTACACTGGGAGAGCTCTTAGTGTTCCTATGACTCAGCTGCCCAACCCGGACGCTAGTTGCAAGGCGATCTTGGATTGGGATCACCCCTTGATCTCGATTCTGTTGGTCCCATTTGGTCTTGCCCACACTTGTGCAGACGTATTCTATTCTGGTCACTCCATATCGGTCACACTTGCTACAATGGTCTGGTGGGACTATACCTCGTCGATTGCCTCGAGGCTCTTCGGCCTCTTCTGGGGCCTCTTTACTTTGCTGGTGATAATGAGCACACATTTCCACTACACATTGGACGTGGTGTATGGTGTGGCCGTAACGTTCATTGCATGGCGTTTGTATCACTACGCGATGAAAGTCCCAGTGGTGATGCTGAACTCGCGGTTTATGTTGTTTTGGGAGGCTGATGCTTTCCCGGTAACGCCAATGAATTCCCACTACACGACGATTAACATCCCCAGTCTGAACATGCAAGTTCAGTTGTGCAGCGAAGCGCTGCAGCCAGTGTTTGTATCGGAGTCAACAGCTGAGGAGGCTGGTAGTCTACTGTCAGTCCGGGATAAGGCGACTGCTTCGGGCGATGTGGCCTCTTTTGGAATCGTCAACTTGCACTTTGCGAAGGACCCCCGGATACTATGGGGCTTGCGGGTTGCAGATGACCCCGACAGTGGGTATGGGAGTCTTCCCTGACAGTTACCTCAGTTGAGGTTAATGACATACCACTCATATCATCATCTTGCACAATGATCAAGTAATGATCGACAGTAAAACAATTCACTTCGTGTATCATTATATATATGTGTGCGTTTTCCTTTTGGGTCCGTTTGTCAGTGTATTCCATGTGAATCGCCGTCTCAACCCGCCAACGGGCGAGGCGTTGGCTTCTGTAGCTTCTGGCAATGAAAGACTACTCATTCACTATCCGTTCCTTAAACCCCGTTTCCCTAGTATTGTAGATGTGTTCGGTTTGTTATGGTATTGGTAGCATCCCCCCTGATAGACTTGTTTCAAGTACTGTACAATGGTATCCAGTCGATTGCTTCCAGCAGTAGCAGCGTGGGATCTTGGCATGATGGTGGACTCAGTAGTGGGCACAATACAGTGCTGATTATTACTGCCCTCGAGACCCGCAGACCGCATTGGTCATCTTATCAGTTTGTCGACTAGGCCTGATATGATCCCATAGGACTCAGTTTCAACATAGTAGTGATGCTAGTATCGACCACGACTTGGATCTATCCTAGATACCTGTATACGGAATGGCTCAGGAGGTCGTCTTGGGTGTTCTCGAGTGAGGTTCTTCTTGTCAACACCACACCGTCACTGTCACAATGTTCGTAGCTGCATTTTTAACAGCCCTATCTATAGTCTTCGTGTCGCGTTACTCCCTATTATATGGCCATTGAGTGCAGGACCAGCTTGGAAAATACAGAGTGATTAGTCGTGCACAAGGTGCAAGGTACGGAGAGACTCTCCGACTCTGGGATAGCATATAGAAAAGGAATCTTACCCTTACTACTTAATAGTGTATAT